CACCCACGCCATTATATATTTGGGGAGATTATGGCTCTCTAATATGTCTAATAAAACTGAATGTTCCACACTATCATGTCTTAGCTATATTCAATAGCACTTGTGACGCATGTTGTCCGATTTGCCTGATTTACTCCAACTTTTTCTTCTTCGTCTTTTTTTTTTTGTCGTCTTCGGCAACGTTGTGGGGCGGCTCCCTTAAGCTTCGATGGATATGTCAAGTTTGACCATGTTAGGCCAGGTTCCTTGGAGTCATGCATTTCTTTGCAACTGTAAGCAGCCTACACACACATAACCCGAAGCCAGTGAGACGTAAACATTATTAGACAAACTGCAAATTCAAGTTTTATCATTGGTATGCGCGGGAAATTTGCGACGAACCAGAATAACCTTTGGTTACACTGCCCCTACCTTTCAGTGCATCTCTGTTTCAATCGAAGTCTTCGAATCATTGTCTCGGTAGTAAAAAGAAAAACCGACAATCGCGTGAAGGACGCGTGCTATACACCTTCTCACGACGAGCGTAATTCTTGGCGGTCGCGCTGTCGTGCAGACGCAGTGGCGCCGTATATGGACAGAACGGGTCCCATCGATCGCGTCGCGACGATCCAAATCGTCGCTAGTTAATCAGCGCGACCGCGTAGCCACAAAGGAGGCGGCACGACAGGTCCTGTACTCGAGCCACGTCAGAAAGCCATTACCACTCACGGAAATATCCGACCAGCGCGTTTCGGAGCGCTGGAATCGCACGACCACGAGACAACGATCCGGCTTTATAATGATACATAATGACAACCGCTATACAAGCCGCAGAAAAGGATTATCAGTACAGCGAGCTAGGGAGCAACGCGACCACCGTGGCATCTGTGTCACGCTCGTCGGTGGCGAGGACGCTACACGTAGCGTTCCCCGCACACGGCGGCCAAACGCTCTTTCGGACGAAGCACGCAGGCGACGTCAGGCCGCGCACGGCATCGCTAATGACACTAAGCGATGTTCCCTACATCATTCGTCAAGGTCGCAACACGCTAAGTCGGTGTCAAGAGAAAGTTTGGCTGACCCGAAACCTATGGCTAGAGCACGTTCATTAGCGTAACATAAGAAGTGTGGCAGCTCGGGCTAGTTGGTATGACATGACGATAGTTACAGCACGAGAACAGAACGAGGACAAAAAGACAAAAAGGTGGCCTTCGTGTCCTTCTTGTCTCTTTGTCGTCGTTCTCTTCTGGCGCTATAGCTATCGTCTGTTCTCATCTCCTGCGTGAGTGGGGTGTCTCTAGTGCGAATGTATACGGAAAAGGTGATGAACCCCAAGTCGACCTTGGTGCAGAAGCACATCCTGTGGAAAGCAAACACTGCTACGAACAGCACAGCCAAATCTTGCAGCCGTTCGCGGCAAGTATAGAGTTTAGAAGCAGAACGCGAGTAGGTCATTTCATCATGGCACCCTCTTTTTATACAGTAGTGGCGTGTGCTCACTCTCTTCGAAACTGACGACACCCGCTGTTTGACGTCACCCAAGAGATAACATGCTATCGGCAAACGGCCGACAAATTTTCTAAGCGGCGTTTGGATCAGATGCGCAGGAATCACTGTGATGAGTATCGCCTGTAAAACTTTGCCATTTTAAACTTGTAGGGCGTGTGAGTAACACTGATTTTTAGGAGCGAAGCTCCTTAAGGCGTGGGCTGTGCGTCCCCTGTATGTAGCCACCTCTCGTTCAGTTCTAAGTATTACGCTAGCCACCGCCCGATCTAAAGGGTACAGCCATATCCATCCGTCCGTCCATCCATCCGTCCAAAAGATGCAAGATGTTATAAACTAGACGGCGGTACGTGTAGTTGATTATGAAAGATGCGAGGTGTTATAAAATAGGAATGATGCCACATATGGCGCGTGTCATCGTTCGATATAGTGCGGCGACGTACACTAGGGGGAGCGCTGCAATAAAATCGAGTGGGCAAAATGTACGGAGGATTCATGGTTTACCAGGTTCACCTCCGGAGCTTCGCCCACTCATCATCATTCACTTCGTGGATATGGCGACATTTTTTTTTTTTTTGAGCAGGTTAGTTTTTCATCGCCGCAAGCAAGAGTAAAGGGAGGCGACGACAACAAAAACGCTTGTGTTGTCGTCATATCCCTCTGTCCCTGTTTGCGTGCGCTTAAGTGTTCGGCGAGTGAGGAACACCCAATTTTCTTGAATTTATCGCACGCTGATAACGAACGTTTTATCGTGCGACTCGCAAGATGGCAAAGCCAGCTGTTTCACATGCTTCAAGTAGGAGGCAGAGTGTCCACTCTAGCAGTTACCCTTGGTTTCATCACGCCATGTAAAAGGGGCGTCACCAGAAATATCTTTCGGGATAAAGGTGGGAGAGGGCTCCTCCTTAAAATATGCCATAGGGAAAACAATTTCTTTGGGGGGGGGGGGTGCACGAGCCTGGTGTGCCCCTCCCTGGCTACACCGCTGCTGTGTAGCTTCTAGCACGCTCGTCTGGACAACAGAATTAAAGCGTATAGAGGGACACAAAGATTAAAGAATGAATCGGCTTAGGGCGATAAAATTGTTCTCCGAGAAGCGTATAGTGTAGCCAATTTTAATATAATATTTTTGCTAACAAGGAAGAAAATAAAGGTCAAAGTTTTATTTTTAAAGTTGGCGCCCAAGTTGCCGCACGTAGCGTCAAGGATTTCAAAGCGTATTTCTCGTGTTTGGTGACAGTGGCTCAACGAAGCTTCCTGAAACTTGGTATGCTGAGCCTATTGCACTCAGAGAAGAATGTATTGCACTTTTTCTGATTGCGAACTACGTTTCTCGCAGATGCCGTCCAAATCTACAGCACGGCGGTTTTCTTTTTTTTTCTTTTTTGCGCACTTTATCGTTAACACAGAGTCTTTTCGTGGAAAGCTGGTAATCTTGGATAAGTCAAAGAGGAATTCACTAACAAGAGAGGAAATTTTTTTTTTTCCTACAAACGGCTGTAACTCCAATTGTTATAGGACTTCAGCAATTTTCGTGAAATCGAGTCGTGAGAAAATGAACTGCAATGCTGGGGTCATTTCACGATTAATTTGAAAAGTGGTTCAGGACATGTTTAAGCCAAGATTTTCCATGTACAGTGTCAATTTTTATTAAAGGGAACGCGTGGCCTGCGCGCTCCGGCGGCTGCTGGCAGCGCGTTCAAGCGGCAACGAGAGCAACCAGTCTCTTCTCGCGTCATCTCGCGGCGAACAAAACAATTCGTTGCCGATAATAAACTAGCGGCAACATAGCGACTCCCCTTCTCCTTAAGGCTATTGCGCGAGAGCACAGAACACCTACCAGTTTGGCCGAATGTGAAAAACGCTAAGCTGGTACCGCCCGCAGTAGTCATGATGGATCGATGGCCGGTAATCGCCTTGAAGGGGGAGGGGTTGTATCTTGCTATTTAATGGTTGTGTTGCTCGCCGCGAGATGACGCGAAAAGAGACTGTGGTTGCTCTCGTTCCCGCTTGAACGCGCTGCCAGCAGCCGCCGGAACGCGCAAGCCACGCGTCGCCGTGTCCCCTTTGATAAACATCGACACTGTACAACTGGATATGGGCACAGGCTGACTGGTCCTCTTCCCGCTGTAGAGTGTGAAATCAACAAAATGGTTTGGGTGGAAAATTGCAGAAAATCGGGAAGCGGCGTTAACACGTAACTTTCCTAAAGGAAAGGTATTTTCGACCCAAACGTGGGGACTCTACTTTCCGATTCCCCAGAATGACGCAGAAAAAGGTGACCATCGCTGCATAATGGAACGGCCGCTCAACAACACACGCACGGACAGAAAAAGAAAGCACAAAACACTGCGCTCTGTTCTGTGTGCTTTTTTTTCTGTCCGTGCGTGTGCGGTCATTTCATCATTTAGTACGATCAACTATCCCATGCACCCATCAGTCACTAGAAAGGTTGCGGGAGGGAGGGAGGGGGGGCTGAGATGGCGCCACTGCCGGAACGGCAGCACGCCCAGCTAAGTAGTCTTCGCGTAGGCACTCAATCGCATTCTATCCGTACGCACTGCAGCGTCATGCACACTGTCCAGCACACAGCCTTTCATCGCCGCTCGTCATTTCGACAGAACCAATAAAGCGCCACACCAGAGAACACCTGCGCCACCACGGACCAGAGAGATGGCGGCGAACGCCACTAGTGCCCCAAGCGGATGACGTCACTTGTAACCCTCTCGACATCTCCAATGCTTACTCTTAAACTGTAATACCTCGATTTTATTATTTATGCGCACGTTTCTGTAACCGCTTTGGGGAATGAAGAGCTTGTTCCCAAGGTCCTCAATGAACCGAAGGCAGAGGGCTACGGTAGGAAAGGCTAAGAGCCAGCCCTTATAGAAAGCAAGTGTTTTACAAGCGTTCTTGCCAAGCGAGACGTCCGCGACGTGAAATGGCTCCTCTTTCAACTACGGGCAGATGGTAATTGGAATTACAGGTGCAGCAGATGCAGAGTTCATTTAGAGAAAAACTTCAGTCAAATATTTAGCTCGAAACATTAGTGAACGCATCCTGTTAATGGCAAAGAGCACCTACAGATGAAAATTAAGCTCGGTGAATTAGGCCCTAGAGCACTTGACTGAATGCTCCGATGAACACACAAAATCGCACTGCAGTCACAGGACACTGGATTACCTGTTTGAGCACCTGCAGTGTTGTTATAGAAAGTACACTTAAAAAAAAAAAAGAAAGACATACACAGTCACAAGCTTGGTGCAAATGATACTATGTACTTCTACCCATATGTAGCAGAGTGTGGGAGGTGGTTTTTCTCCCTTGGCTCAGAGTAGCGCAGCAAATGCATCGCTCATCAATATATGCGTATTTACTTTTGTGGCCTCCTACAAATTTCTTTTAGTTTTTTTTTTTTGACGCCACGCTCCCAAATTGAAATAGCCTGTTGTCCTATTATTGGCCTGTTTCAGGTGCAAAGTTCTGAAGCTATAAGACTGGAACACCATGGGATGTTAAATAAACTGGCCATATCTCGTGCTAGGTACACTTTGTCATGTTCATTGTCAATTTACCAAATATATATAATTACACACTTTCTTAATTCCAATACAACTTCCTAGCTCCTTGAAATAAGATTAGGCTTGGCATATATAACAGTGAGTTGAGCTCCAGGTTTCATCCAGACGCATTCTCCAGCTATCCAAGTGGACAGCACATGAAGGTTGCTGTCGAGCACCACAAAGTCAGCGTCTGCACCAAAATCGAGTGTCCCTTTGCGTTTCTGGATGCCAAGAACTTCAGCAGCATGCAAAGACGCAGATTCAAGAGCCTCGACACTAGTGCATCCTGCATAAACATAAGGCAAAAGAAAACCAGCAACAATAAGATATGAATACAAAATGGCTTGAGGCGCAAATCTGATTGCGTAACAACACCGTCACAAATGTATTACATGCTAATATAAATCACTACAGGCACCGCACCCCGAGCAGTGTTTTTTTTTGAAGATTCAAATTAACTGTTGCCCAGCAGATTTTAAGAATAGGATCAGATATTCATTTAATGATTAGTATAAAGTTTTTGACTAGCTGAGAATTCCTCCAGCATGTCTCGTTTGTGTGCGTGATAATTATATGAAGCACAGCTTTTGCTTCAGATTGAGCTATTTACCAAAGAACCACTCAGGGCTTACCTGTTGATTTCTGCAAATATCGGACACAGAAATCCATTGTTGCAATGCTGAAAAGTAAGAAAGAAAACAGGGGGAATCATAACCAATGCTGAAAAGTAAGAAAGAAAACAGGGGGAATCATAACCACACATGAATAGGATCTGTATAAATATATTGCAAGAACTACTTCTGTTGATGCAAAAACTAATATTATTAAATTTATAGTGCTAACAATTCATAACAGGAATGTAATGCTGAGGGCTTACTACCGGGCATTATTTAGCATAGCACAAGCAGCAGCCTTATAACAATGCCCACCTACATGTACACTAGATGAATACTATGGCATTTGTCAGGTCATGCACAGATACAAAATAGTCAAGGTAATACATCCTACTTAAACAAAATGATTGCGCAAGCACCTGGAAAACATTTCCCTTGCCTGCAAAACTTATGACTTCAGTGGGTGAGCTTGGTGAATAGATAGCCCCTTTAAATGTACTAATGATTAAAACATAATTGCAATGAATCCCCAGCCAGGTCTAACAGATAGTATTGTATTTTATGACCACTTAAATCATACTGGCTTGTCCTATGCCTTTTGATTAGTGCATACAGCAACAATTCTTGTCACATAAAAGCTAAGCACCTAGCTCCTTAATCTCACCACATAACAACTGCACCGAAAGAAGCCTTCTATCTTTGGAGAAATTTGGGAGAGACCATACAATCAATTATTCCAAATTAATGGCCTCACTAACATGTGCCATCGCTTTGCAGTGTTGAGTAGGAGGCTCTCGCAAAATGCTGCTGATGCCACTACTGCCAGACTCTGGGCGATTCTGGCAGGAGTGAAAGTCGCATGGCCACTGCCATGCGACTTTCTTTGAAAAGGCTATTAATACAACAGCTCTAGAGGAGCAGTAATCTTTCTCTCGTTTATTATTTCTTTCGTTTTATAGAAAGAGGAGCATTTTATAGAAAGAGGAGCAAGAGCTAAAGGCCATGTGGCCTGACAGAGGCTCTTACTCCTTTGGGCATTCGGCACTGTGTACAAATGATTTTGATGCATGTAAAACAATGAAGCATCAGCATGTACATATCTAAATTCAAATAGGAAAAATACAGTTTCACATGATACAAAACACTACTAGGCAATAACACATCATTTAAACAGCTCAAAAATATGTACCCCAATGCATTAAATAATGCATCAAAAATCACTGATCCACCCAAAAGGGTTTCTCTGGCTTACATTGTGGTAAAGGACTTGAAAAGGCAACAAACACGTTATTGTCCACGTTGTGGAAGGAAGCATTTCAACTTTGCCCATTTTATTACTTACAGATCATATAAAAGGTGCTTGCCAGTACATTCAATAAGTGTTTAGTTTATAAAAAAATTGAGTCAGCTAGAGTTAAATTAGCAATAGTACACTGTATAAACTCTTTTCCATGATTGAGATAACTACCTTCCACAAAGCGTAGTTGTTCCTGCAATCACAGCTCGCTTGCCGAGAATTTCAACTTTATTCTCCCCTATGTAGTGGACTACCTGCTTCGAGACCCATGGCTGACATTGCATCGGTGACCAGCGTCAAGCCTGTGCATGAACAGAAGAAAGTTGGCAATACATTTCAGTCTTTATAGCATTCACATGCCACTAAAAGTTTTTTATTGAAAAGTTGCGTTTCTCACAAGCATAGCTGAAGATGCACGCGCTGCACGTTCACACCATCTCTGCGGCATTCATGTAACTAAAGAAATATTAAATAGTGATTAAAGGAGTCACTCAAGCTTAACCTGCTACAACAATTATATAGACACTGAATTATAACAGTCATGCACTCGCAACAGATTAAAAAGATTTTTCATCATTGTTTCAGTGGTACAGTATTATTCGATTTTGGCCTATTAAATATTGCTTAAAGTGACTTTTTCCCTTTCTCAGAGTATACACATATCTATTGATCGAAGCATCTAACACTTAATGCAATGTACTATGCACTATTAACACTGCAAAAATATATATCCTTAGAGCCAGCCATTTGGTGAAAAAAAAGAAAAACTGAAACTGTTAACGAAAATCAATTAATGCCAGAAAACAAGACAAAAAAAGTTGTGTGCAATTCATGTTCATATGCAACATTAAGCATAAAGTTAAAACTTTTGCACTGCAGTAGACGTTCACAGTTTCATTAGCTGAACAAAGGACACAAGTCTGTACATGCCTTACCTCTGGAGTTCGCTTTGTAAGCAATGCGCAATGCAGCAGGGTGGGTGTGGATGCCATCAGCTATGATTCCATAAAAAACATTTTTTTCCTCTGGAAGTTTTTTAGAGGTTAGCAGTCCAACCAGCCCTGGATCCCTGTGGTGAAACTAGAAAGAGCATTTTCTCAATTCACATTAATTTAAATGCAAAGAACTGATGTCATCCAATTGTTCACATAATAATGATACAAGACAAAATCTGATGATATGGCAATAAAAGTGCAAGTTGAGTGGAAAAAATAGACATGATTCAAAAATATAAGAAGGGAAGAATGAAGGAAAGGTAAGAAGGTTAACCATGCTATTGCTGCCATGCTATCGCAACCTAACATGTGGGGAAACGAATGTGGGAATAGAATAGAGAGAAGGCAATAACCTGATGGTTTATAAGCATGGTACAGAGTATTTACTATCAAGTACTCGTCCCAGATTTTCACAGCAGATCAAGCATGGCTTTCTGACATAATGAGCTTAGAAGCAAGGCTCCCAGAAACTATTCTTCAGTAAAAGGCTACCTGCCAAGTTTACTTAAGGCACAGTGTAGATTCGAGAATTCAAAAGGGCCATAAAAGGCTTTCGGAAGTTCCGTGGGAGTTGGGATTCCTACTTATTGGGGAGTTGATCACGCGACAGAAAGACCAAAGAAAAAATATTACGGCAGCTTCGCACTTGTTGCGCCAAGCCTGAAGGAACCGCAGAACTAAGTAGCCTTCTTTAGCATGCCAGCCAAGCCTAGTCTAGAGACAGCCAGTTAGGCCTAGATATAGTAACCACATGAGCATAGAGAGGAGCAGTTAAGCCTCTCTTTATGCAAGAGACTCAAGAAAGTAAACTTGAGTCCCTTGCTCTTTCCATACTTCCTTTTTTTCTTACTATCTCTCTATTTCTCTTTCTTTCACTATTTTCTTCCAGCTTTTCTCATCCTGTCGGCCATAGCGATGCCATCACATGGTTCCCATAGATGCTTGTTCTGACAGTGTGCTTGAAAAGCCAAGTGATTACGACGCTCACCTTCAGATTGTAGGTACCTAAATTCAAATTCCTTCTCGCCAAGTAATTTTGTCTTGTTTTATTTATTTATTTTCTTTCTCTACACCTCTCAAGTCCACTCCTCCTTCTTTCCATCCTCCAACCCATTTCTAGGCAATGCATGTTGACGTGACGGCTCAATGCAGTTTTGAGAACATCACCGCACCAAGCTCACGTTTTAACAGTTCTGCTGTTAAAATCAAATGAATTCATTAACAACAACCAACACTACATCTTCACATAGTGATTTTTCCATACTAGCCCATTTTGTTGCTTTATATCAATATAAACCCACTTTTTATACTGTAATTTATCGCTTGCTTAAACTACAGGACTAGTGTTTCTTCAAAGAAAGCCTCCCGTAAGGTTGCACGTCGACAGAAATGGTGTTTTATGTGCAATTCTGAAAGAACTGCAGAATTCTGCTGTGTTGTGATGAATACACAATGCAATTTAGCAAAAGATACTTCTACTGAAGTCTACAAGTCAAAATTAAGATTGTAACAACAAACTTACTGGTAACATTGCATTGAAGAGGTGGGTGATGAATGATGCTCCATCCTGCATTGCCTTCTCACCTTGAACTAGATTAGCCTCAGAGTGTCCTGGGAATGAAATGAAATGCACACTTTTCAGAGCTCTAGCTCAATAGAAGAAAAACAGCTGCTTATGCTCCATCTCATCAACTTCATTCAGTGCATCACATGCATTGCATGAAGTTGACTGCAGTGCATCATAAATCACTCCCCTAAGCTGTGATTCAGAGCCAGAAAGCAATCAGGCCCACCACTGTCCAGCAAGTGCTTCTGTAATGACTGAGTGTAAATAACACAATATGCTTAGCTGATCACATTAACCCTACCCTTGATTATCTAAGACAACCGGACGAACAGCTAGTTCTCCTCCTCTTCTACTCAGCAAACTTTACAAAATTAGTGGGCCAGACTATAGGTACAATGATACATTTTTGGTTCAAATGGACAAAGAGTATCTTTTACTTTGGCCCTGTATGTACAGTGCATGTAAGGCACTTTCAACAAAAATATGCACTTGAACACGGGTAGTACTACTAATGCAAGGTAATACCTGATGCAAGTATCTCACCTATAGAGACTGTGACGCCCTTTTTAACGAGTGCCTGGATCACCTTGCCGTCAGGATCCAGTTCAGGTGCCATCGTGACAATGGCCACACTGTCCAAAGAGCCATACACATGCATGAGACTTTCAAAGCCTCCCGACAGGTCCTGGATAAGCTGGGCTTTGTGGGCGCCTTTCTTGTGCTTGCTGATGAATGGACCTTCCAGGTGGACACCTGAAAAAAAAAAAAGCCCCAACAGATATATTTGTACAGAGAAGGGAAATTAACATGCAAAAGCAGCAAGTGCTGCTATCTCTCCTTCGATAAGGTCAGTCAAGCTGCAGAGGCAAGCACTATAAGCGTGCGAAAAAGTATTTTCAAGTTCATACATTCACAAAGCTTGCCAAGAACTGCTTGAATATTGGAACAAGCCAAATGAGAAGAGATTAAGGTCATGACATGAGAATTATCTGAATGTTAATTTTTGTTATTCAGGGAAACAGTCTTGCATGGACCAAAGTATAAACAGATAAAAGAAAATGCATCAAAGGCATGTTGGTCGGCATATTAACTGGTTCATGGCACAAAAGCGCATAGTTGCATTGCTCCAGGTCTCTTTATCCTGTCTTTTCCTGCACTTTTTAAAAAGTGTGTAGTGCAACCATTTTAGAACATATACTGTCCATTAGGGAAAATGGAAAATACAACAATGTAAGAATGCCAATCTAAAGCGTAAAATGTGTATATACTGGGCCATTGTAGTAATGCTAAACAGCTTGATGTAATCCACTTATCATACCACATCGTGCACAAAAGGGAGGTCACTTAACAGATATGTTTTAGTGTACTTCTTTGCACATTGTACAACAATGGTAACAGTGACAGATTAACTGAGGAGGTTTAACTTTCACAAGCATTACTTACACTTAAAGGCATGCTGCAGTGCGAAAACTCTGCACAACTTTTTTACTTGAAAAGTTTTTTTGATGATTTGATTGATTTATATGCCAACATACTGACCGTACATCTTTAACGACAGCATGTTTAGCATTTCGAATACTCAACACCAGACTAGAGCTCATTTGCGTTACTATTCACCTAAAAACAATGAGCCTGCTTGCCTTATACATGAGTGACAGACACTGCCTGCAGTATGGTGAGAGACTTTCCTTTGCAGTATGCCATACTTTTTTCAAGAAATGTGTCCAAAAATCATCTGAAACAAAGGAAATGGTATATTTGCTCGCTGCCTTCATAATAACTTTTTCTGTGGTGGGAGACGCATTTAAGATGACTAGACACAGCAATTATGGCAAAAAAATTGACTTTTCAAATAGCAGAGTCAGCCAGTTGAGTCAAATAGGAGAATTGGTGTCTTTTTTGCAAAGAGGCCATTGTCCCCTTTAAGATTTTGAAAAATCAGCCCCTGGTTATTGTTGCTAATCAATGAAATCCAACCAAATCTACCAGCAAAACCATCAATTAAGTTCTAGTGAGCGCAACTAGAAGACGACTGGACTGACATCATCATTAGTGGCATCGATTGGCGCTATTCTTCTGCATTTGTTAACATACATGTGCCATACATGTCTAATTCTAAATGAAACTGTACAATTGTGAAGCAATGTTGATCGATGACTAGCTCAATGATGCTAGCTCATTATGAATGTCTCGTAAGAGTATGACAATTGCGCTGTATCAAATTTCAGTCTCGCCGGCAAAATCAATCTGATTTTATTACTTGTTAATAATGGCTAGCAGCACCTTTTGCAAAATTCAAGAGGGGCAATAGGCTCTTCACTAGAAAGGCAGAAATTTCCCTATTTTACCTCAACCACCTGTCTCCAATAATTAATGAGTTAATTTAAAAGAGTTAATTTTAAAGAGTTAATTTAAAGTAAGAGTTAAATTAAAAGTTAAAGAGTTAACTACAGTGAGGACTGATGCGTCTACTTTTTTAAGATGCCTACCACCACAGAAAAATAACTATGAAAGCAGCATAAAAATATATCACTTTCCTTTTTTTTCTTCTTTCAATATTTTTTGGACACAATTCCTGAAACACCCTGTATACCTAAGCTGCGACACAGCATGCACACTCATTTCCTTTCCTCAACGTTGGGGCGATCACAGAGTGGAAGCAAGGACAAATCAGCCACTTGGAAAGTGATGCCAGTGCAGCTAGTTCACACTATTTCGCATTCCCTTGCTTGTGGGAAAGGGTACAACAGCCGATCGGAGAAAGAGGCGGCACCACTTACTCCAGCAATCACTGTGACCAACCCGAGGACAGGCGAGCCGGTTATCGATGAAAGGAGTAAGCCTTGTCCTTTGTTTTCCAGATAAAGCAGGCAATCTCTGTATGCGACACTTACACATTATTCCTAACATAGCAATAAGGTGTTGTTTGTTGACCCGAAGAGTTGACTTATTCACCCAAGCCTTTCATAGCTGCTATTACTCGTTCTACAGGAAAGGGACGTTAGATGTGTGCAGTAAGACTGTGCGCAGCTGGAAGCAGAGCTTGGCTTTTGCATCCGCTGTGCATAGAGCGCACCCCCCTTTAAAGGGACATTAAAGAGAAATGATGACTTGGTTTAGATTGATAAACTCCACTCTGAGAACTCGAAATCCATACGTTTCACGATCTTAAGTTCATTATTAGCAAAGAAAATCAAGGTTGATGTTTCATTTTGAAGTTTTGCACTGAGATTTATGTGGATGACATCAAAATTTTCAATGTATTTTTTAGTATTTTAGCATTTAGTGAAAATGTATTTTTAGTATAGTAAGAATCAGGTGAAAACAATTTTACAAAGGACAGCCATACTACATTATGATGAGTTATGGTACTTCAATGCTCTTACCAGAAGCCTGTGTCGATGAAATAATAAGGTCGCTATATCCAAATAACACAATAAGTGGCAAAAGAGCTTTAGACTCATGATTCTGTCTTGTGAAATGAGTACTTGCATACATTTCTAAAGTTGCAAAACTACACCATACACTCCACATGTCTTGAAACATAATTATGCTGTCTGGGGAACAATCATAATTTCAGCCAGTTAGAAATACAACACGTGGAGTCATTTAATTGTTATTCTTTTAAGACAGAGAGAGAAGTTTACCTGTTTGATACAGTAAAGGGGCTTGGTATGAGAGCAATGCAGTCATGCCAGTTACAGTAACATAATATGTCAATGTGATATTACGAAAGAGATTATTCTGGATAATGAGACAAAGTTAGGTTTATACAAGCACGTATAACAGTAAATTACTAAGCCATTGCTTGGACATATTTTGCTTCTAGGCTTTGTGATGGCATTGATCTTCAATCAGGGCAAACAAACAAGTAAGAAATATGTTAGAGAACTTGACATCAGAATAATTACCTTGTGACTGAGTGAGTGCAGATTAATGCACCTCACAGTAACCTTTAATATCAGCAGCCACAATGGCTGAAAATATGGACATCTTTTCTGGGAGTGAGATATGAGTAAAATTTAATTCACCTTTCGGTAAACGTCCGGAGTTGAAGTCACAATGGTTGGACACATAGATGTCACTCCAAACGGGAGGACGCCCTTGGCCACCTTTTGAACAGCCTCTACAATTGTGTCGACACTGTGGGAGAAATCTACACCCATGCCTCCTGAAAGCACAAGAAAATAGAACCATCATCGTCACACCTCCTTTTTTTTTAAGTGAAATTTTCATTGCGTTCCCCTTTGCACCTTATGAAGTTTAGAGCAAGTGTACATTACATATACAAGTTTCTAGCCGATTAGGCGACTTTACAAGCTTGATTGCTAAAGAAAAAAATATGACCAGTGAAATCACCTCTCTTAATTCTGTCCTGTCACACTCAATCTGACTTGCAACATGGGAACACATGACTTAGTTCTTTCGTTACCATGCCTATTCAAATCGATCATCGGTCATCAATGCTTTTCGGTAATCAATTTTGGCATGTTAAATTTCTTTCTTGTGCACCCAGCACTCTTTAGTAGTTGGTTCAGCCACTCGACTTTCACAATTTTTTTTTTTTTTTAATTTAGCGACTTGGGCAACATAGCGATTTTTTTTTTACAGACTTTTGCGCAAACCAATGTGCGTGTGTAGTTGAAAAAATGCACTAGGTTCATGAACTTGACAGAAGTGCGTGCCCCTCGTGATTATGGTACAGTAACATTGAATTTCTGTAATGAAAAGAAACTTTGCAAGCCAAATATCGAATTGATGTGTTAGCTTCGCAATTTGACCGAGTTGAGCAGTAATCATTTTTGGAAATTTATGCCAGCTAATCAATAGAGAGCTGTTGCTAAAAATCAGAGAAAATTAATTCTACAAAAAATATTTACCAAGGTCCGCCGCATGTATAAAGTGTGCAGGTGGTTCCCACAACCAGTTACCAGCCACTTTGGTTTTGCTCGTATCGTTATATCAGACACAGGGTCATATCTAGCGTCACAAGTCGCTCCTACTGCGCGGTCGTCGCGCGCGCATGGGTGCGCATCAGCGTTGCAAAACACATGCGCTGCTTGAAACTGTCTTGCGACCCCACCTGAATTGAGTGAGAACGAGCTGAGATTTCGCGGATGACAGCACCTCAGCTTCAAGTTTTATGGCGACGATGTTTTACGTCAGCCTGAGACATTTGTAGCCGTTCATGGGTTTGTTTTGTTTACATTCTCAAGTTATCTCCTCCTCCGCAATTGCGTATAGCTTCCGACTTTTGTGCATAATCTTATAGTTACTCAGGTTACGTGCCATGGTCCACACTTCGCTAGGGCGCGGTGTGGTGGCGCTGGCTGCAGAGCTTCTCCTAACGGCAAGAAGGCCCCCGGAGCACATCTAGGCCCTGACTAAGGAGCAGTGCAAAACATTTTAGAACTGCGAGCAGTATTGTCCTTTTTTTTTTACATTATGCGCAATGATGCAAAGGAATATGCTTGGATGCACATATTGGAACGCCAACCTATGCGGAGTGAGGTGGCTCATGGAAAGAGGTGACGCTAGATGAAATAGCAAAGTTCATTGGACATCTCATTTATAGAGAGATTATTCACTTCACGGGCATCCATTTATATTGGAAGACCTGGAGACTCCTACTGCAACACAACAAATATTTACTGAGAAAAGTGTAAGAGTTCACGTGTGCCTCTCGAAAAATCATGCAATGCTTCAACGCATGGCACGAGCAATGAAGCAGCCCCTCGCTTCTCATTTTCTTTGTCTATATGAAGAGAAACATTTTGTACAACATTTATTATTTTTTATACTGTTTCTGCATCATTCATCCGCAAAATGTATATTCTGAATTTTCCTTGTTTTGAATATTTTTGCATAATTGTGTTTTTTATTCTACTGTTCACCAGCTGGTGACCAAAAATTTCACATTTTTATTCATTCCATAAGATTTATGTTGCTCTACAACATATATTTTTTGGAAAAAGCATTTCGTTCTGCAAAGTTTGGTATTCTTCAATGTGCGCTGGAGTGCTTTTCAAGCTGGAAAACGCGATCTTCCAGGGACATATGAAAAACAGCCATTCTCGCGCGGTAACGAAAGAGTTAACTAGCTCAAAGATCACCTAGGCAGCCACTAGCCTTTATTTAAATAACTAAATGCTGTTCTCTCACTTAGAGATGACACCAAATAAGATAATTTAGTTGTGAAAATTAGGGCAAGTTGAAACCATGTGCAATCTTTGACAGGGCTCCAGTCTTGCAAGTCGCGTTGAGTGTGACTGTACATATTATGGAAGACAGAGTTGCAAGTTTCTCTTATAATAAGAAACTTTGGGCCTTATTTTTTGAAATGTAGTCACTCGAAAAATTTTTTAGACATTTGTTATGTTTTCTTTGGAATTTATTCAAGAATTTTTAGCCAATATAATTTTTTTAGTGCCCATCCCAATCACTAATAACATGTTTGTCGATAACTGTGCTCGTAAGAGTTGAAATCAAAGTTAATTGGGTGATTCAAGAAGCTAAGTTATTGTGCAAAAGCAGTAATTGACCCTCTCCCCACCAAGTCACTTTTCCAAGAAAAATATCCTTCATGCCTTTCTGCAGTGCAGCGTAGCAAACCTGATGCATATTTATTAATCTCCCTGCATTTCTTCTCTAAAGCTTCTTTGTCCTCTTTAACTTAAATTTGTGGTTACAATTCTTTTGATGAACAGGGCCAACAGGATATATCTGTGCCAGCACTTGTTTCAATTTATATAGTATGAATTCTTGATCAAGAGAGTAGCGCCAACAAGTGCACCTGCTTTTCTCCATTATCAAACAATGCATCTCTACCTGGGCATAAAATGCGATTCGCTTAAAGTTACATAACTACTGATGGAAAACCGCCAATTTTATTACAGCACAGGCCAATATCGCTGGTTCCCATCTCCGTGAATCAAAAGTTGGTGATTTGCCAAAGTTGGCGATGAAGTTAACATAGCACGGCGGAGCGAATGCAAGACCAAAAGCACCTACCGTTAATCTGGAGATCAATGTAGCCTGGTGCAATGATGGCTCCATTGCAGTCCAGTTGGATGTCAGCAGTAACCCGCTCGTCGAAAAATATGGGCTCAGGGTTCACAATAACGTTGTTCCTAACCCAGAGGTCTTCTACAATCAATTCATGATTACGTAATATGGTGCAGTTCTTAAACTGTACCAAGCAAGAGCTCGGCCACTTGTGCTGCCCGGAAACGGTATTCATGGCATATACTCACTCACAACCTAAAGGAACGAAAGCAGAGGGGAAAAGCCAGAGCAACGGGGTAAGGATAGCAGCCAACAAAACAACACACGATAAATACCAACAGCGATCGGAATCAATGACAAACTGCACCGAGTAAGCCACAAATAATAAGTCGTGATCGCGGGGATATGCAAGACATTTACGCAAAGTGTTTATGCAATATTCAGCGCCTCCTGTAATAATGGCAGTCGAACAGTTATTCTACGGCACATCGAGTCCCCGCGATCAGCCTAACTCCCCAACTGTTGATGTTACTCGATTATGAATGAAACTCGAAGCTGGTGAAAACAATGAACGAAGCGAGCATTAAGTTTTAGACTGCACAAGCCATAAATAAGAAAGGAAGGATGTTACCATTCAAAAGATTGTCATGCATTCACTGTTATCGCCCAACTACAATAAACATGTCATATCGACGGTCCGCACTGGCTGATAACTTCTCGAGTGGGCTCCACGGAGATGTTGAGACGAGGAAACACGGAGCGGAGAGGCCAATCGAGGATGAACTGCATGAGCGAGTTTCCAAAGGCATGAATGTAAAAACAAGCAAAGAAAAAGAAAATGAGAACGCCAACCCACGCGCCGAGAAGCGCGATGTAAAACTTGAGCGAGAAAGCTCGCTCTAGCAGGTGTTTAGGCACGTGCGGTCTGTCATCATCGCTATTTTCACGGTAAGAGACGTGTGAATAGCGTTAGTCTTCGCCGGCGGGAAAAACAAAAGCGCTATAGTCATGTACTGAACCGCGAACGCGACGTTGCGTCGTTAACATCAAGATAAGTTCGCCACAAACCAGCTTGTTTGTGGGGGACGTCACGTTTAGAAGCGCTAAATTAGATCTCGTTCAATGCGACAATGAAACGTGTAAGAAATCACTGAACGGAGAACGGCGCTGCAGCCAAAATTTCGGCATTTTTTGCCATCATCAGAGCACCAACTACTTTAGTGGGGCGCATCGGAATAACTTTGACCGGCTTACCTGAACATGCTTATACAGAAAATAGGTTACACATGACTGCTCGATTCTTTTTGATTAGACCTTACCATATATCTCAAAGTTTCCTACGAGCGCACGACACGAACATGCAACCCCCAAAGAATGCGTTTTATTTCTGATTAAGCTGAATGACTGTTTCAGACAAAATATGTTTCAGATAGGCACTTTTTAAAGGCATGCACCAGTGATTTATCTTACTGTCAGGACAGACTGCAGGAAAATTCTTGAAAATTGAATGCGCAAGTTGCAAGGGTGGTAAGCAGAACACTGCGCCTCGAGATGTATGCATCACTGTTTTATATGACACGGGGTTATGATAAATGGGCTTCAGAGGCTTTGATGTTTATTTCACATCGTCTTCTAAACTCGTCTACGTTTGGTCCTCACTGAGTATGTGTTGCTTAATTCTACTCAGCGACTATAGCGAGAAAGGCAATATAGCGCATGGGAATGGGCTAGAGTTACATATATTGAGAACAGCAGAGGCATAGGTGTGTGCGGGAGAGGGGTGGTCAAGCCAAGTGAGGAGTCACATTAACAGACACCATACATTACATGACAAAAGAGTGAAATACCGTTAGGTGTCATACAGTGCGAATTGCATAACAGGTCGGTAATTCGATTCCTATTAATTACGAAAAGCTCTGCCATAATTCATCATAATTAGCCAAATCACAAAATGTGCAAGTGCAAAACTGCATTTTATTATTTTTAGATGCGTAGTGGTTAAAATGCTACTCCACAAAGTTATTACATCTGGCATAGTAGGTACTTCCCTTCTCCAAATAAGGATGATTTATGGTGCAGTGGATACATTCAAACTTATTTACTTGCAACAGACCCACCAAGAAAGCTTACAATAGGCTTATTAAGTGAAAGAAACACTGTTTTCACACCTTTCAACATCATAAAAGTTTAAAAAAATAAAGTTCTATTCCACAGTGTTTTTCAACACCTGATCCTTCGAAGCAGGGTTTATTGGTGCATGTAGTACTTGAGCAGGAGGCCCATAGTTGCTGAAAGCAGGCTACGACAACCAACACTCGAATAACAGCACTGGCGCCAACAGCTCGCACTTGGCTATTCCTGCTAAGGTGGTGATCCACTGTGGCATAGTGTTCTTCCTCCCTACAACACCTTAAAGACAAAGGGGAGCCATGCTGGTGAGTCAAGGTGACAACACAAGGAAGGGGTCACAATATGGCTTTAGCTGACAGATGTGAACTGTCTCGCAACCAAGGTGATGCCTGTTGGTCGATGACTGGCTCGATCATGTTTATCGTATGAGATGAACATTTTATGACGCGGCAAAGACCGCAATACTTTGGAGCAAACTTGAGCGACAGCCTCCAGTGCTAGTCCTTGCGCCAATAAATCTCTTGGCATAGTGGTGGAGGTACAGAGTACTCAACCTGGAACACTACAAGAGGAGACCGCTCGCTCCCCCAGAAATGGCTGAGGAAAACAGTCAGCAAGGCATGACCCAACCTCTGATTGTCATTGTGCCTACCATGGCGTATTGTTCCTTTTCCTCCCTACACTTTGAACAAAAGTGGTAGCTGGCAATGCACTTGCTCCACCCTAGCACTAGCACACTTAACCAAAATAAAAAAGCGGAGGACTCACATCTTCAAAATAAGACACATGTATACTTGTTTCCAACATAATTTAGTAGGTGATGCTGATTTTGTCATCAGTTACTCAACCATTCATTTTTTAATAGAGAAAGTGAAGTTGATCATAAACTTTTTGTTGCAGGCTTTTGCAACCAGATCCCACAATTTGCAAGATTGTCACCAAGTTGACGTGGGGCATTGTTGAAAGTGTCAACTCATGAGCAGGAGCTCGCCAGTTATAACATCTATTTATAATGCTGGGCAACATTCGAAGAGCGTGTGCATGAATCTGCACTGCATTATTCTTGCACAAGCAACGAATTGTGACTGCAGTTTATTTCCCATCATTTCTTACCTCTAAAAAGCGATCGTTTCGGTTGAGTTGACTTTTAGCAGTACAACACAACAGACAAGGGTGACCGCACGAAATATGTTACCGCTCACAGCAATATTGTTCCTTTTGTGTTTGTGCGTTATCTAGTACAATGAAAAGCATTAGTAATGGTCAAAGAAATAGACATCTTACAAACATCTTTTATTATAATATTAGTTCTACTCCACAATGTAGTTTTCACTGCTGCAAATGCAGTGGCATTTTTTCGACCTTCTTTTCAAGCTCTTCCATTTCTTTCAATGCTGTGGCAACAGCATGACGTAGCTTGTGAAACTCTGCTCTCTGAACCTGCATGAACATGCACAAAAAAAGGTTTGTTTGAATAGCTTTATTTCAATGGTGGTCAGAACGCTGCATAAAAAAAGCAATCAGGCAAGTTATAAGATTGAAGAGGCAAACTGCATGTAGTTTCATGACCATGAACAGTTTAAGGAATTAAGAATGGATGACCAGCAAAGGGTTAGTGACATGTTTAAATTTAATGGGGATCCGAAAATTTAAAAATAGCGTGTTTGTTTAGGGCTGGGGACTTGAGTGACACCTGCCACCATTAGAAAAATAGGCAAAGGTGGTGACCATAGGCACCGAATGGCCCAAGCTGATATAGGGTCCGAGTTCCACCATGTTGGGCTGTTGAGCTTTGTGTTTTCCATCTTCAAGAATTCAACGAACAGTGTTATGGCAGACGCATATGCATGGAAACACTTGGGTTGATGCGTGCGATGTTTTACGGCTTTATTAATTTATGTCGCAATATGCAAAAACAAGAAAACATTGGCCTAACAGCCCAAAATGGCAGCACCCAGATGTCTTATATTTAGTCAATAGCAAACTTTTGTTTTTGCAACCTGATTTCTGTGACTCACTTCGAAAGTGTGAACTTCACCGTCAGACGTCTCCATCTCCATCTGTATGGCAGGTTCGAGAACCCTGCTCAGGTCACTGAAATAAGTGTGGCATCCCAGTTAGCAAGCAATCTCTTAAGACTAACAGAGCATGCAGAGGAGATCTTAATACGTGCTCTCACTTTGTTGATATGGTAACGTCAACTCTCCATTTCAGGCTCGCAAGTGTCGGGTATTTAGGGCCTTGTTCAAGACTGTGCTGGTCAATGTTGTCCCTTCTGTGAAAAAGGAATGTTCGATAACAAATCTGGGGTGTTAAAATGAACTGCTAGCTTTTGCAACTTGACTGTTAGATATGTATCCGACACACCTGGACCCAAAGACCACACTGACCAAGTCTCCTGCAAATTCTGGTGGGATACTGAAAGAGAAAAAAATTAATAAATAAGAATAAAATCGATTACTACTGTCTCGAGCAAGGTGTGTCCAAGTAAATAACACGAGTATGAACAACAAAAATATTGAAATTCTTTGTCACTCTTCAAGGAATTTACTTACCGCAGTGCGTCAAGGTCTTCTCTAAAAGCCTGTAGGAGGCACAAGAAGCAAAAAAAAAATCCTAATTATAGAAAGTGAGAGCTGACATTGCTAATAAATGACAGTACGTGTCACAATTAACCCACCTCCTGCTTCAATACTGAAGACGGTAGCTTCAAAGCAGCCCGAAGCAGTGTGTGCAGCGCACTGTAGACCTCATCCAACGTGTCTGGGTCAGCCGAACGGGATCGCAATTCATCGTAAACACTCGGGTTTACTTCTCTGCCTTCGAAGTCGGCGACAGCAACTGAAATAAACGATAACTTCTAATGCAAGTCCGACAAGATGTCCTTTGGGCTGCGGACATGAATGGCGTACATGTGTGAACACATTGTGGTGTACTAACAATCGCAAGCTTTTTAGATACGCTTGTCGTTCGCTGCGAGCTCTGCACACGCGGGTTTTAACGTCTAGTTTCAGATGTAGACCACCTGACACGCCTCCCGGTGAGCTTGCGATGCCGGTGCGGGAACACTTGAAGAACAGAGACATTCACCTTTCAGAAGGCCGCGGTAAAGCTGTTTCTCCATGCTTGGCAGCAACTTTTTCAGACATTTTACTTCCTTGGGAATCGTAGGCCCTAAAAACAGCACTCTATCTGTCGCAATGCCCACTCCCGCCGCCATTTTTAAACACCTGCAAGCTATGTGGCTGCTAACGGATTATTAGCATTTTTGGCTTGGATTTAAAGCTTTTGTTGTCATTATGGCGGGAAGCTTTAAAGCAAATCTATTCTTTAAGGTATAAACGCGTCATCTTGCTTTTTCCTCTTTTTTTTGCTCTGTTACTAATTGAATTAGATTTTGACCTTGCCCGCGCTCGCGTTCTTTTTTCACAAAGAATCAGTTTTCTTGGTTTTCTGGTGAATACTCGAAGCCTAATAACAAAACAAGAAAGTTTTTTTTTTTTATGTACCTTCTTATCTAGAGCAGCCACATAGTTTCTGCCCTTCCTCTTGTCTGATCTTGTGAGACAGAGATACAGGATTAATGCAAATATATGTGCAGTAACATTGTGAAGATGAAGGTGAAATGTTACTTGAAGGAAGAACCAAGATATGGATGCACAGAAAGCGTGATACATACCTAGACGTATTAATTGCGTGTGCGCACACACATGCACACTAATGCCGTCACAGCAGCACATAACCATTTTTTAGCATTTGCAGAGAATGGAGAGGTGGTGCCTAGCCTCACTGGCACTACTTCGTCATACAGATATCTGGGCCACACAGTATCACAATTAATTTTGAAGTATTAACCAATAAATGCCATAAATTTGTTCAGTCTAAGCGACATCTGGAAATTCAACTGTTGATATACTGGCAAGAGTCAAGACAGTTGGATGTCTTTTGAACAGCAGCACTGGCAGTGGCTGTGTTGTACGTGTGTATCCTCGCTTGTCTCTTCATGTTTTATTTAACTTTGCGCTGCTACTCCCGAAATCGTGTCTATGCTGAGATGTTCCAAACCAAAAATTAATCGTGGCTTCCCCAAATGTCTGCATCACGTTAACTTGTCCTCTCCAGCGAGTTCGCACATTTTATTTCAAGTCCAGAGCAGGCAGCACTCTGCGACTGCTTCGTTCATGCTGCAATTAAGAGTGACAGAGTGAACCAAGCAAATTTTAGAAGTACGAGGCTCTCTTCTCAATGCAGGCAAACTGCAGTACAAAATACCTGCTTTGTTGGAGACTACCAAGTTTATTATATTAAATGACTGAATCCTCCTTAAAGGGACCCCAGCCATTTATCAGTTAGCTGCACTACCTGCTGAGTGAAACAATCAACTTCATCTGAGCACCTCACTGAAAGCACCACTGGGTTTTTTTCTTGTCTTTATTTTCTTATCCTCTAGGTCTGATATTGCTGCAATGAGGCTGGATCTAGTTCATTGTAACAGCATTACCCAAATTCTTTGCATTCTTTGCCAAAATAATCATGACAGAAGGAAACTTTCAGTGCATCGAAATTCACTTCACTAACTCCCTTTCTTCATAATCAGCTTACGTGTCAGGCAGGCAATGGGAAAGTTACTATTATCCCTACTCAGTACAAAAAGAAAGTGGAAGGCTGGCACCTAATTCTAAACACCGGGCAACGAAGAAACATGAGCTAAAAATGAACAAAATAGGAGAAAGTACACAATGAGATATGGGCTAATTACACTATCTACAGTAGTATTTACAGTTACGGCTAAGCACTAACAGAAAAAGAGTGCTGCCAGATCTCTGACGAGAATTTGTGCAGGCATATGTGCATGTATTTTAGCAATCTTTAGCTGTTGTCATTTGCTTCACTGCTAATATCACAATAAAACTGCCACACTCTACTGTTTCCTTTCATGTATAAATGCAAGTGAGCAGTTTTTCAGAGCAAAATACAGAAAATGATGGAAGTGCCAAGAAATGATGCAAGTGCCACAAAAGAATAGGAGCTGAAAGTAATAAAATTACACACCCTTACTGAAAACCAGCAGATAATGAAGCAAAGAAAGATATAGGGGACATTAATTGTGCTGATGTGAGTGTAGTGTAGCAGTTGTGACACAGATGAGAAGTAAAGTGGACAAAAAGACAATTTCACGCCAACAGGGACTAGACCACCAACCTTCGAACAATGCACCCTATGCTCAACCAATTGAGCTACGGCGACGGCTGTTCTTTTTATCGGGTATTTATGTGCACGCAAACCTGGTAGCATTAGTCATCGCCACCCCTAGCATGTGGAATACTCCTTCTTTGTCAGCTGGCGTGACGTGGTGTTTTGATAATCTGGGGGCAAGATGGTAGTGAACCTGTGGAAACTTGCCAGCCGCAAATTGTCATTTCATTCGCTTTACTGTCTTCACACCTACTGCTGTGTTGGGGGCTGGCTGGTCCCGACGAAGCAGAAGAAGCAGACGGCCGACGGAGACGTACGCGGCCGGCGGGGACGCCGACCAGCCCGAACACGCGGGTTGGCGCGATGCGCCGAAGAGAAGAACAACAACCGCACTCCACGGTTACCCAACACACACTGCCTTTATTTTACAGTCGCCTTGAAATCCTAGGTGCCAGAGCGGCGCCCCCTGGCATCCTCACATGTCATTCCGAAACCGAAAACCCAGAACACAACAATCATCCCCTCCTCGAAAAAAGTTCACCTATACACTGTTTATATTTATACATGATCGATACCAACATATTTTACAAGGTATGTACATTAGAACACATGAAAATTCAGAGCACGGCACACCGAACTCACACATTATGAGTCCTGAAAATGCACTGAAAAATGTACAATTGGCAGTCCTGAAAATGCACTGAAAAAAAAAGTACACAACTCAGTACAATTCTGCGTAGGCCTGAAACACCAATTTCCAGTCCGCCCACGGAAGTGGCGGGTCTCCGGGCGAATGAAGAAATAGGGGAGGTGGAATAGGAGACGCCATTTCAAGCAAGAAGAATGGCGAGGTGCTGACGAGAAGAAAATGCCGCCAGTACACTGTTTGAAGACGAAGGCAGAGGCGGCGTAGCTAAATGAAGAAATGAAGCGACGCAGCACGCAGCAGCCACCTTGCTGGGAACAAAGAGCGTCTAGGGTTATTAGGGTAGGTCCGTTACAAGCAAGAAAAAGACTAACACGGAGAACGAAATGGGTTCTTACAGGTCCTCGTCGCCATTGCTGTGTTGGGGGCTGGCTGGTCACGACGAAGCAGAAGAAGCAGACGGCCGACGGAGACGTACGCGGCCGGCGGGGACGCCGACCAGCCCGAACACGCGGGTTGGCGCGATGCGCCGAAGAGAAGAACAACAACCGCACTCCACGGTTACCCAACACACACTGCCTTTATTTTACAGTCGCCTTGAAATCCTAGATTAAGGTCCCTTGTTTCATCTAGGGACCTTATCCTATATGCCAGAGCGGCGCCCCCTGGCATCCTCACATGTCATTCCGAAACCGAAAACCCAGAACACAACACCTACATCACAATTATACTATAATACTGACTTCAAACAGCACAACATGCCCCGTACTTCCTTCAATTCATTATCTACTGGTTTTCATTAAGGTTGCATCAAAACTAATGCTAGCATCGTTAATTGTGACAAATTTTAGCATCACTTCGAAGCACCTGCCTAAAATCATAAGAGACTAGTGCCCAAACATAGGGGAACATTCAAGATCGCGTGTACTCAAGCTTTTGTGATGTTGAAAGCACAGTTATCAAATTGACGGCCCTGCATGCAGTGAGGAATGAAACCACACAAGGGCTTCATTATAGGTTAAACTTGTTGACAGCATGTTCCTCAGGAAAAAAAAAAAGCATCCTTACTGCAAGCAGCCACAACTACCTTGAGAGACGCCTGACAACAGAGCAAGAGGGGCAAGGAACAACAGCCCTCATTGGGTGCCAGTCATGGTATATTGTGTGCGCCCCACAAATCTTCTGTGGCGTCAACAATAATCGCTTTACACACAGTGCCTATTTACACCATACCAGTGGTGATGTTGCAAAGTACTGCCAACTCATATGAGCACTAAGGCTTACTTTAAAAGCAAATTAAAATATTGTGGGTATTTGTTCTGTGCTTCTTCTCATCTATACACTATCACAATCATCATCTTTCTGGCTCTATGTCCTCATCTTCACCAGGTGTCCCCACCATCATCATCATGTGTGTGCACGCCCTGCCTCAGCCTGCCTGTTTGCTGCCTAGTCCTTGTGCTAAATAAATGCCATCTAAACCAAGATGTCATACGTGGTGGAGGTGTAGGGTTTGTCCTTAAAGGCAAGGTTTGTCACTAAAAACTGCTCAGAATGGTCCGTGTATACAGGATAATGAAACAACACGAACACCTGAGCGGTTCAATTTTGGAGTCGGGGGTCCTTTAATAAGCACTTTGCATATTGTAATTGTTAGAATTTTATAAACATGCACCGCTACAGATTGCTGCGTGCAGCCACAACAAATTATCACCTGCCCTTATTTTAGAACAAAGCATTGTTTTGGGATGTTACTAGTGCAACCAAACTGATTAGCTTATACAAGAAAGAAAATGCAACTAGTAGGGTTTGTAACAGCACCTGTTGGTGCAGTCATCACCCAGCTAAACACAGGGCATGGCATCCATGCTCGGCGGTGCACCAGTTAAGGATTGCGGCAGGTGATGATAATAATTGCTGAGGTTTAACGTCTCAAAACTACGATACGATTATGAGAGATACCATAGTAGAGGGCTGAAAAATTTTGACCCACTGGGGTTCTTTAGCATGCACCTAAATCTATTTACACGTGGGTTAGCATGATGTTCAGCCCTGACCACTCAAGCAGTGAAGTTGAGAAGAGAGAATGGTTTTGGAGAAAAGTAAACCTCAGTCACGTATTCATTCAAACTGCTTCACTTAAAGCGACCCTGCATCACTTTTTTAGGTAATCATTAAATGGCTCCATTAAGAAGCTCACTGCCTCACAAATTGACTGAAAAAAGAAATCTGCTTTGTCGGAGAACTAGCAGAGCCAGAGAGATTTGTCGGACGCTTCAAACACCTTTTCTCTCCTTTTACACCAGTGGGCGTGCTGAAAGCTACACAAAGCTGTGACAAAAGGGGCAAGAAGATGCACCTGTTCATCAGCATGTGCCCTCACCTTGTGCA